CTATTTTTCCAATGCAAAAAGTACAACCACCAAAATTTTGGTGCACCTTTTCATTTACTGCTCAAGGTAAATGAAGGAATTAAGACTTTTGAAGGATAGCTACAATTTCTGATCATGGGGAGAGCCAGGTATGTTTCAGGATTTGTGAATGTCTCACCAGTTACCATGCTACTCTTTCTCATAAAATATAATTGGCTTTGGATGAAATTATACCTCCAATTAAACTTCATTACCCATTTACCACAGGCCTCAATGGAGGCAAGGTTTAACCTCCAAGAGCAAAGCTTGAATGCACCTGAAAACTTTTAACTTTCATAATCCATAAATATCCCCTATATCCTGCATAGCAACAGCACCTTCATCTTTTTTTTCTCCTCTTTTCTCACTTTCCTTTTGCTACCACTTTCTTCTCCATCTTTCTTGATGCTTTATTTTTCCTCTTCATACCTAATTAAGTAACCTATCCCACCTCAGTAACCAGCACAGTGGTATAACATAATACATAATTACACCTTGCTTGGTTTGGTCTTTTCTTCTTTTTTTAATATAGACAAGATTGTTTTCTTCATCTCATACATTTCTTTCATTTGATTACTACTATTGCATCTCTCTTAATTTATCATTTCAAAGTTACAAAGGAACTTGTCTGGCAGGTGACCCTGGCATTTCAAAATTACGAAGAAGTCTGGCAGGTGACCCTGTTCCCAGAGAAGTTCTGATAACGTGGTATAAACAGGAGAGATAACATGCGCTGATGCTGTCTATTGAGAGCGAGTCATGAACTTGAATCCAAATTCTCTGTGATTTAATCCAAAGCCCTACAACGGGTGCCAGAAGTGAGTTTTAAGAAAGATTAAAATATGTAGATGTATCTATGAACAGCAAGACTTTACCAGTCCCTTGGAAAAGCTTTAGCTCTGCCATATTTTCCAGTATATGTGCTCAAGCCTATTTAAGTGCACATATGCAAACCAGTCGCACTGCGTGTGAAAACTGCGTGACTGACTGAGAACTTGAGAAGTCACCTCAGGTCCTGGCATCACAAGAACAAAAACTGTATCCAGAGAATGAAGGGAAAAGCAGCCTGGCTGAAAATGAATGCGTGTTAACATACTGTGTGCCGTACCTAAAGGAAGGTGAAAGTGCTGAGTCTTTCTCACTGAACTGTGGTCTTCTAATGTAAGGAATTTGCAAAGCTAAATTCCCTCATGGGCTATCACACACTCGTGCCATCTCAGTCCATATGCATTGCCTACAATATAAGCAGAACATAGTACAGGTTTTCCTTGGTAATTCACTCTTAAGAAAATGCATGAAGACAGAAAAGACAGTTACACAACGTGATTATCAAGTGGAAGATGGCAGTCAGATGGAAGCTTTCTTCAATAATCTGAGTAAGAAACTTGTGAAGTTACAGTTGCAAGAAATCTCTATACAGCATCCAAATATCCTGCAATGAGCTTCAGAAATCTGTATGAATACTTTTCTCCATGAGTCTCTCGAGGCATTTAATACTTCAGCTCCTCTCTGAATTCTTGGAATTTTCAAAAACAAGCTGACAGAACATTAAAAATAAACACTGCTTTATTTGCCAGATTTAGATCTTATTAAATGTACATACATGTTAGCTGAATGCAAAATTTAAAAAATTTATTCCAACATTAGTGTATCATATATATAAGCAACATACTTAGCAGACAAAAATGCCACATGACAGTATAAGTCAAAACAAGCAGTACACATAGAACAGTAGGAAAGTCCATCTATTTTCACTCCATTCTGTTGTCTCAAACTGATAGTATTACATAAAAAAGTAAAAGCATAACAACAAAATATTCTAGAAAAAACAGTATAGTGTCTTAGAGTAGCACTCTTATTTTGCAGTCATTTGCTTAGAACATACCACACTAAGTCTTTCCAAGGTAAAAATACTAAATTTTAATTGGAAAAAAAAAATCCCTGAATGTGTTACACTTGAAAGGCCAATTTTCTTTGTCTAACTAATTCTAATGAAGCAAGCTACCGTTGCTTAAATTACAGTAGTTCCAACACAGAACTATCTTCACTTTGGTTTAAGGACACTTTCAGATACTTACATTAAACACATCAAAATCAAATATTCCAACAATAAGAATAAACAAACCCCCAAATTGACCAGTCCATTTTTCTTATTTTTGTCACTTTTCAAGAACACTTCAGGAAATGTATACGTACGTGAACCATTATAATCCTAATCATACTAATAATCTTTTGTCAAAATACTGCTTAACAACAAGTAAAGGCAAACTATTATGTAAAGACGTGTTAGACTTATTTTGTTATATGACATTAGCTCTTAATATGACAACACATTCTCTTTTCAACAGTTTCTATATACGAAGTAATGCTATGAAGTGTAATGATATATTTTTAAGAGATATATATTTCTTTTTAAATAAGCTGATCCCAGATTTTTTCCACTTTCTATTGTATGATACAACACACACAAAACATCTGTTTGTATAGCATTAAATAGGAAGTGATCTCAAAAAACAAGTTTGAAAGAAGCAAGAAGTAGGGGTCAAAACATCAGTTCAAATTCAGGGTCTGCATGCGGGGCTTCTGCCTATCAATGCTGTATCCCAAACTAAGGCATTTCCTTGTTTTCCTCCATTTTGCTTTTAAACAGCATTATTCATTCACAGTACATCTATTTTGCTGACATTTTTCCAAGTGTAGTATATTAGGACACTTTATTACAGGACCTGAAGAAACTAATGTTCCGTAAGCAAGAATAGTGCATCTCATGCTGAATTTTCAAATCTGTATTCAGCTTCAATCAGATTGTATGTTTTGCATAGAAATATCATTTTGCATCTCATCACCTTACGGTTTGAAGCAATTGTTTGCATTCCTAACAGTAACAAACCTGTGAAATCTAAATTAAGCAGTTTAGTTAACAGTATGTGTGTAAGAAGCCGCAAAGTGCTTGCACTGTGTAAATTGTGGTGTACGCATACGTAACAGTGGTGACTGATACTCTTCTTTGGCTTATACATTAAGCAGCAGAGCTAATTTATTTATACATGCATTCCTCCAATAAATCCATTACTTCAAATATATCTGAATATTCAAGAACATGGTCAGTTCATCATGAACATGAATTGCCAACATGCTTGATTTATCAAGCAAACTTACAGAATGAAGCTGAATAACTTACAGTAACGAGAAATGTACATCTGCTTCAACTCCTTGACTGGCAGCCAAACCATGTGACGTTTGTTCGAGGTAGGCACTTCAACATTAAAACTTTTGATAATAATGACGGTTCCACCCAAAACATCGATTTAAAACTGTTACAACATTAAGGTTACCAGCCAAGTATTCCAAGATGTAGGCTAGGTCTGCTAAAACAAAATATGGAAACCTTAAGTTGTGGATCTAGTAAACAGTACATAGTTTGGCTGATACGGAATACAAATCTAAATTTTTTTGTGTATACTTGCAAAGAAGTATAACTTTCAAAGTGCAAATATAGTAAAATTTCTCTCTCTAGCTAGTGTACTTCAACGTAAGATAACTCAACAGCCTGGTGCTACTTTATCTAAGCAGTCTAGGTGAACTATGAACTGCTCTCTGTGAACAGTTCGCGTAGCACTAAAACAGAAGTGTGCCAAGGCAGGCATGGTTTGGCTAACACTGTACAGCTATGTGTGCAGGTTCACAGTATCATGATGCCTGCAAGCACACTTTGGAAATACGCATTTCCCCATAGTGATCATTTTCACATCTTTTGCCAAATGCAAATAAACAAGGCACTAAACATGGAAGTGTTGATATGTTTTAAATATACAGCAAAATCATAAAAAAGCCTAACTGCTTCAAATTATAAAATGAGGGCACACATTCATAAGCAGCTGCTAGCTACTTTGCACAAGTAGTTATTATATATTTATAATAAACTCAGTAACTTTGTAGAAAAGTCCCATGACAAAACAGAAAAAAAAAATCCTTCTTGAAGATTAAAAAAACCCAAACCAAACCAAAAATAAAAACCCCCAGGCTCCTATGTATAAGGACAATAACAACGTAAACATAGATTATTTGACATGCTTAAAATCTTTTGAGTACAAATCCATGTACAAACCATCCAGCTAGATCAATTAGCGTGGCGGTCCAGCTCCCAATCCACTGCTCTGTGCAGTTATACTCCACAGTACACAACGAGCACAGACACACAGCTTTAGCCCTTTGTTGGCATTCACAGAGAATCCAAACAAAGAATCCAAACAAAGGAGCAGCTTTGGCCAAAACTGACGTTAAGCAGGATCTTCCAATGGCAGTTTTTGAGATTGAGAAATAAGTTAGCTGTATTTCTCCAAATTGTATACATCTTTTCAAAAAACGCTGTCATTAGATGATTCCACAATATTTGCATTTAAAGAGCAAACTCTTTGGCAGATGATATCTTTACGAAAATAAATTATGGGGTTTTTTTCCTTCATTAGTATGTATTAACTGAATTCTGTGTCTATAAATAATTCCAAGTGGAATTAAGCCAATATATCTTTAAAAATCCATTCCTTCTAAAAAGTGTATAGAAGTTCAAAGCTGCAAACAAATGTTTCATAAGACACAGTGGATACAAAAAAAGCCCCAAACCCTAACCCTTGTATCAGGAGTGTTCTCCTATTTAAATGATCATGTCATAAAAATAATAATTCTCAGCACTTTCCACAGCAGGAGTCCTCTATGATATCGTTTTCATTCAGCTGGGATACAGCCTGGAACTTTGCATTTAGCAACAGGGGAGGGCTTGATGGGAATGACCTTATCATACGCAGTGAGCCCTTTGAGGGTAACATTCCCTGTAGCGGGAATCCAAATTCTAGGATTACAACATTACACTTATTATTAAAAGTGATGGGTAAATAGAAAACAGTGCTGAAGTCATACAGTTAAGTAGATTTACTAAACCTAGAATGCTCGGTAAGACTTTTCAAGAAAAGTCTAAAATCTTTGGAGCGAAAGCAAAGGGTTGAAACTGTCCTATAGCTTTCAAGATGATGCATACTGAGCGAATCACAGATTAAAAGAAGCTAAAACGAGCTAAATCCCAACCAGTTGTTTTTTCAACTACATTGCTCTGGATAACTCCATTCTCCCTTCTGTGGCGATGAACTCCTTTTCTGTGGCTCGTTTATCACCTTGGCACAGTCTCTCCTTCAGTTTTTCAAGTTCATACTCATGTAGGATTTTCTGTGTTAAATACTTTTCACGTTTTATTTTGGCTTTCACGTCTGCAGGGACATCAGGAATCATCCATGCTACAAAGAATTTGACGATGAATACAACATGCTGCCAAAAAAAAAAAAATAATAAAGGAAGCCAGGAGAAATGTAACAACTCATTACCAAATGAAACACCTATTGTTTTATCTAACACCAAATAGATCATTCTCTTTTTGTTCACAAACAGAATACATTTCATGTGGCTGTCCTGGAACAATACATAACAAGCTAATGTGTATCTGAGATGTGCACGAAGATTAAAACACTTTTATGCAGAAACTTTAATTCCAAACTCCCTTTTCCCTTCAGAACTTGCAAGACAGTGGCTTAATACTGAACTGCCAGTTATCCAAATTACTGATTTTTAGCCACTTTTTTTTGGCCAATATACATCACTGCAAAATGCTTTCTGGATTTTGAATACAGTCATCTTGCATACAACACTTTAACGTAACAGGAGGAGCGAAAGTGCTAGTCCTGGTGGTTCATGTCTCTTCCATCTGCATAAAGATCTTTTTTATTCTGCTGTTTTATTTTGATCAAATCCAGCAGTCTCTTCAGCTGTTTTCACTGCTCTCACTCTGAGGTTAACTTGCTGAAGTTAAAAGACCTAGTTATTGTAATCATCTAGGACGTGAGTATTTAGTATTACTTAGGGAAGAAACTATTTCATACTCTCAGCAATTCTATTTTCTGTAATGTTAGTAACTACTTAGAGAATCTGTGAGGTACCCATTTCAGAAGGAAATTTTGTAGGAAACATACCTCCATAATAATTATAAAGGCCAGTTTTGCAGCAAGAATGTGCCAAAACTGCATAGTGTGTAAATATCTCCGCTCATGATCTGGAGGATATCGATAGTCTCTGTACCTGTTGGATAAAAAGACATGCAAAGGTGAAATGTCATATTCAGTCTGAGATAGACTACAAGCTCAGTGACACTTACAGGCAAATACAGCTGTCACTTGAGGAACCTTTTCATCTTGTTTTAAATGGTCTGTTTCTTTTTGCAGAAAAAGGTTGCTTCTCAATTTGTTTCTATCTCACGTTTGCTTAAACACCCTCATATTCACAGCAACAGAGTAGAGATGAGGATGTGTGAGAAGTAAAATTTTGTGCATAGGCTACTTTTTTGAGGGGCAATGATCAAATAATACAGGACAGAGTGATGCAATGTATCACACAGTAATGGACAAGTATTGAATAAATTTGACAGACGTTGACAGATTATGTACTGAACAGATGCAGGGTTTTATGGAAGGACAGTCTTGAGTACGTGTATAAGTAGGATAAAAACTCCTGGGACTTTAAAGCCAAAACATGATACAAATGTAGCTGCTTCTTAAAACGTTGGGGGTTTTTTGGTTGGTTTGTTTTGGGGTTTATTTTGCATCAAATCGAGTACTTTTCTTTTACCATGGACTTCTCCAAAGTTCTTTCTCAATTCTTTTAGAACCTCCAATGCTTCTTCTAGCAAGAAAGGACTATTTTTTTAATGAAAGCAGGATGGCCCAGATCCTTGATGGTGTCTAGCACAATAACGACTGACTTTAAATACCATGTCTCATTTTCAGTTTTGGAATCTAAACATCCCCTTAGTGATACTTCCTTGTCGACTTAGGCATTGCAGCCTAAAAACATTTGAAAATGTAGGATGAAGTTTGCAACCTTAGGGACATAAATCTCCACCATCACTCAAAAATCAATAGTTTAATTAAGTAAAAAAAACAAAAACAAACAAAAAACCCATTAGCAATGAGACTCTCTTAAACAACAAAAAGGTCATCTTTTTCGTTACTGGCACGATCTCTTACCATCTCAAGCACTGCCTTGTAAATAGCTTAAATATTACTTCTCACACTTCAGAATGATGAGAATGACATAATTTAATTTCTAGTGGACTACTTAGATCTGCATTGACTTTTTATGCTGTATTCTAAACAAAGTGATAAAAAATATTTATTATTACACCAACCTGCATATGACAAAGTTTTCTGGATTCAGTTTAGGCTTGTTTCTGTCAGGAAAATCTGAGATTTGAAACACTGACAAACTATTGTTTATGTATCCAGACATAGGCGAGTCTTCATTTTCAGAATAAGCATAGTAATAAACTAAACGAGGAATCATATCTGATGTGAATGCAACAATAAAAGCCTGAAAAAGAAATTGGAAAAAGAAATTAAGGAAGTAGCACACATAACTTGTGAGCAGATTCATAAAGGGGTTTTGGTACTGTGACTCTGTGGCATAACCCAGGATCTTTTAAGCAAGGCTGAGCGTGATTAGGGCACTTTACCGTGGTAAAGATGCTGACTGCAGCCTCTGCTGCAAGGACCAGCACTCAGCAAACAAAACATGTGAATAATCAATTACAAGAGGCACCAAATCCCAAACATCCCCTCACACCAAACTGTCTTCTATCTGTGACAACAGCACACCTTAGTGAAAGAGGAGATGTGGTTTTAAATTCTTGTGAGAAAGGATGAACTCAAATCCAGTGTGTGATCACTTTATGAAAGAAGGGGAGACATTTTCTCCAGCTGTATTTAAAAAAGGAAACAACGGCTACCAGCACATTTTGCCTGGAAACTTGAGATACTTAAGATGCTCAGGTACCTTGCTAATTAGGCAATACCTGCAAGTGGGTTTGTTGTCTAAGACACTTGCAGATCTGTTACTATATAATATTCTACATTAACAAGAGGCAACTCCTTTGCTCAGCAGTCTGCTTTACATTACACTTAAGATGAAATACTAGCATAGCATTTAGTTTCCAGCCACTGTCCCCACAGGGGCATCCAGAAGAGTTGAACGAGCAGAATTCCCACAGAATAGGCCTCATAACGACAAGACAGAAATGTCATCCAGCCAACAGAATTAATCTACCTCTCCTGTCCCCTACAGTCCTCTCTGGGCAATCAGTGTGCTTCATCAGACTAAGCTTCAGACTGGCTTATACCATTCCAAAACATTGGAAGAGACAGACAAGTGAATGAAAGATTATGGTCCAATGAAATGTGGATTGGGAGCCGCATGTCGTCAACATATGGATAAGCTGAACCACCCAAATGGCTTGACCATATCTCCGTAAGGTAGCATGTGATAAAGTGATTACTGTTAATGAAGGAGAAAAAGCATCAGCTGATTTTTAATCTGCAAATTCTGAATACATGGAAGAATCAAAGTTGATGTAGCATAGTTAGTGTACTTACATTAGTGACAACAGACAAGATGGCCATCCCGTTCAGGATTTCTTGCCAAACTCCTATGCTATGTGCTTTCGCAGCCACAGGTCTCCTGTACTGAGTGGTTAATTTCCAGGAGTCTACTCGAATCTCCAGGATATTATTCATCAGAGCAAGAAGGGGAGCCAGGGGAAAGGACGCCACGAACAGAGTAATGAATCCAAACTGAATGACTGTGGGGGAGAAAAGAAAAGTGCCAAAATCTGCCCCTGCAAAAGTACCCTCAGGGTGACAATGAAACATGCAAGTTGCCACTCGCAGACAAATGGCAAACTTCTGCCAGGCTGCACAAGAAGTCATCTCCAGCCCTGGCCTGAGTTAAGTGACAACCTGCCCCAGCCCCAAGACTTCTCTAGTCCCTTAGGCCTGTCATTCAGCAGCACCCAAGGGAACGGGTGCTGTCAAATGATGCTGCCAGCAGTGCTGGATACTAATTCTTTGATGGTGCTGCAGTTCTCTCACGAATGGAACGTAACTGTAGGGGAATAGGAATGTATTCATACATCAAATTTCTGAATTACGAGAGAGGAACAAAAATAGGTTCTCCTGCAGTTTGTACAGAGCATTCTCCTTTTACTTATCAGCTACACTCCTAACTGAAAAAGAGGAAATACTTTTACTTTTATCACAACCTTACCTCCACCTATTGTTATTGGTTTAGTCAAAATATTAATACCAATTCTGTATGTAATAGTTTCATTGGGGAGTCTTAACATTAGTTTAAGAATTGCAAATAAAATACACAAATGATCCCTTTAGTCATTACCAAAATGAAATGTCTCTTGGTACAGAATGTGACAGTCCTCAGTGCAGAGCCAATACTGCCACTATATTTTAAAGACAGGAAACAGAACATCTTGTCTGGTTTAGGCAGTGGATAAAAATAAATTCCCATATACCAGTCATCAGCTCTGCCATGATTTCAGTGATGAGTTCTTCATCTTAGACAAGCAACAACTTAGCAGCTGTTAAGTCCTACTAGCTTAGCAGCCCCAGGACAATGCTGGAGCATACTGGTTCAGTTCTCATTCAGGAAGAGCAAGGACATCTATTAACAGGCATGGGTGACAAAACTGATTGTTCTGAGTGTATTAATTTCACAAGATCACAGCCCAGTATGAAATATCATGAAGTGTATGAAATGACAATAATAAAGCTACACATCTCTAGGCAATCTAGAACACTTAAAATTACTTCTGTAGAAATAAAACAATACAAAGGTCCACTTTTCAACAAATTTTGTCCTTATAATAAAAAAAAATTAATTTTTTTTTTAGTGTATTTTACATTTAGTTTGGCTTCAGTTTCTAGTTTTAGTTTCTCAGGTTTTGTAAACTAATTTCATATGCTGACCTGTTCATATTACCTTTGAAAAATCCTATTCTCTTACCCATGCTCCCTCTGCTGGTCTACTGGACTGTATTGAAGCACGAATCAGTGCAAACCTAAAACTAAACGGATTCTCCCTGACCCAGTTCGTAGATCTCATATCTGCAGTACCCATCCTTACAGCATATTTGGCACTCATCCCGTACTTACAATTTCCACTGACATCAGCTGAGAACAAGAACAGAACAGACACCGAGACAGCTGGCTGCACCGAGAATAATGTTCCCCATTCAAATGAGGGAAACAAACAGCCTTTGCAGCGTTTCTGTGAAATTCCCTGCAGTCTAAGATGCAAAGGCATTTAATTGGCCTGACCTATTTAATGATTTCCAGCAGTTAATCGTCTACTGTTTACCAGATGAAAGTGGTGACATCAACCCATAACAATTAACTGAGAAGCTATTTTTTCGAAAGTGTCAGTACGAGGTGTCTTGTCCTCAATTCCAAATGTGTATTTTTAAACTTACCCATTTCTAGATATTCATAGAATAGGCCTAAGGCTCCAAATGTCTGCAGATCATGGTCTTGCTCCCAGCGACTGTACAAATTTTCTGGATTATTTCTGGCTTTCCGGCGACCCCACCAGTTACAAATCCAGCTGTATACGCAGAAAAATGTTAACAATGAGGAAGCAGATCAAGTATCCCTTTCTCTAAGCAAGCTCCTTGTTGCAACATACTTTTAAAAGCACGGCTTTCACAAAAAGAGGCCAAAAGCCTCTACGAAATGAGTCTACTTGTCAGAATTTGTGCTTAATTTACAGAATTTTTCTTGGCTTCTTCATATGGCAATACTTGTTATCACTCCTTCCAAGAATTTCCTGTCTCTAACATGGCCATCTCAGTGTAAGAGGTAACTTACGGTACAATGGCCTCTTGGATATTTCCCCAGATCTGTTTGCCAGCCATGACTATGGTGAGCTGTGTCGTCAATTCTATCAAACAGCCCGCAGGATCGCACTGGCAGAGACAAATTGGGGGTTAATGGACATGAATAATGGACATTACCCAGATAAACTATATTCTACTACAGCATAAATGAAAGAAAGAAAACAAGAAGAGTTCTTAAAACTTGTTAGGACGATACTTAATTTTCACCCAGACTGCCAGCTAAGATACCCTCTCAGGAAACCTGTTACAGAAGGGCTTTCAATGCCCAACATGCTTGATAAAACACACACCAAAACACAACAACCATTTAAAGACAGAATAATTCAGAGATGCCTCAGGCTCACCACTGTGCAGACAGACAAAGTCGGGCAGCAGGATCTGCATGCAGCAGACACCCCATAGCCCCAGCAAGGTGAATCTATGTCGCTCAGTTAGCTCTCAACATCAGACCAACCCTGACCTAGCAAGAACCTGCATTTTCGGTTCATATCCCTACACCAGAGGTATTTAAACACCTGCCAGTATCTGGTCTCTGGTGTTTGCTGAGAACACTAGTTTCAAAGTTTCAACTCTTTATTGAAGCCTTCTTAAGAATTTAGCAGCCAGACCAGCATTAGGAGATGCTCTATCAGTAAGTGCACTGCATTACTTCATTGTGTTTTGCATGAAGTTTTTCCTCCACTATTAACTCCCAAGCAATGCTTCACACTAAATATTGTATTTCATCTCTGTACAAACAGCATAATTAGCAATGAAATGAGGGAAAAAAGCAAAAGCTTACAGATGTGCCTCTTACCAAATGGTTTCCCTGAAAATGTAGTGCCTCAAAAAGCTTATGAAGACACCCAAAAGCCAGAGACCACTTCCATTTATACTAGCTTCCTTCAACCTAGAGGATTGCTTTTAAGACCTATGGCGAGATCCACTGGTATTTCAGGAGAACTGAGGCCGAGAAAAGCTTTTTGATTTTTCACCCTTGTGACTGAGAGCCACAGATTTTCACTGCTGGTGCTTCCCTGACTAGCAACAGCAGGAAGAGTCCTTGGAAGCCCCTCCATCAGCCTCAGGATGGCCAGCTGAGGTCCAGCTCATTCCAGACCAAACCTGCAGCTGGCAATTTATGACTGCACAGGTTGGAGGGGATAAAGAGTTTAAACTAGTTTATTATTATTCAATCCACCTTAATCAAGAAAGTCCTACCTCTTCATTTCGCCAGCGATTAAACATGTATGTGTAGGCACCTGGGTAACCAACAAACTTCCCTTTGAAGAAGGCCACGTAGAAGCAGGATGAATAGTAGTTGACAAACTGGAACAGAAACATTTTCATAGTGAGCCTGTTCTCATACTCCATATGAGTTCTAGGAATCTCTGTGAAACCAGAAAAGAGTAATTTTATTTTCCTTTATTCCCTTTAAAAGGATATAGATTCATAAATACTCATCATCGACAGTGCCTTTACACCCCAAAGGAAAAACAAACAAACAAACAAACACACACCTACAAACAGTTCAGCAGATGGAATTCCTGCTCTCCGACACCCTCCCCTTAATTTACAATGCAATGCTGTGAGTAGACAGGCAAGTGAAATTCATTCTTGAAACATTTATAAGCTTCAATTTACCCTTCTTTGTACTGTCCACTAGCACTTGTCCATCCCAAAAATCTTACACTATTTTTAGGAGATCCAAGATCAATCTCAAACATTAACTAGCAGGGTCTTCTAGACTATGAAAATTTCGCTGTTGGCAATGCACATGATAAAGAATTTTTTTTTCCTTTGGGGTAGAGAAGTATGTTACAGTATTGTTTTTTCAATATGCTGTATGTGTGTAACTTATATTGAAATCAGCAGAAGCTGAATGGGTCCTGTGCCTCTGGAAGAGGAGACTCATAGTGGGGGGAAGAACAGGGAAGGATGCAGGCATCTCGGTTGTACTGAACATCACCAAGCCTTTACTTAAGATTTTGCTGCCTTTGTAACCACATTCTCCATCTTTTTAAAGGTAGCCCTATGCACACTATCGGTAAAATGTCCTGTTAAATGATAACATATAACCAATTAAAGCCGGGAGAAAGGGGAAGAAAACACATCACAAGCATTCACATCCCTCTGAATTGGTCAGGACCTGGTAGACGTGCAAAGTCATTTTATATATCCAAGTACCCTAACATTTCCAAGCTTGGCATAAGTTTGCATGACAGAAGGTATTTACTGGGAACCTGTAGTGTACAACAGAGGAGGCAGTACTCAGGTGAGGTATTCTGCCTAGGTTGCAGCTCATTAAAGTATTTTTATTGGCAGTGAGCTGTTCAAATGTTTATGTCAGACACTCAATGTTCAAAGCACCAGAGGTAGGTTATACCTGCATGTCTGAAAACAAAATCTGGCCTAACCTTTTTAAGGTATTCAAGAGTGACCTTTTTAAGGTATTCAAGAGTTAGAACGGACACTCCTGTCGGCCGCAGCCAACATTTCATACTCTGTACGCAACCGCATCCCTACGCCTGGGCTAAGCGCAGCTGCCACGGCCGCCGGAGGAGGGCAGCAGCCCCACAAAAGTAAACACTGGTTTTCCCTCCGTAACTGATAACCACAGGTAGTGCTGACACTTGAGAAATTAATCCTCCACACTTGCAAGCAGCAAAATAACATTGCTGAGCCTTCATGCTTATAATTCATGCCCTTCAAGAAACAAAGATTAAAAAATGTTGTTTTTCTGGTTTGGTTTGGGGTTTTTTTTGTTTGGTTGGGGTTTTTTTGTTTTTTGGGTTTTTTTTTTTGCTAGGGGCAATTTTACTTATTACTTGTTCTGTCTGTCTTTGGTCTAATTTGGCCAAGTGAGAGAAACAATACAGATCTCTGAGACAAGAGATGGTCCACAATAAATCAAAATAAACCCAGTGTAACACCCCATTAAGTTTCTGCAACAAATATCTTTCAATTCTTGATTCCACTTGTAAGACCTCATAAAAAAAGATCACCCAACTGTGTTTATGACAGCTTACAAACTACAAATACCTAATACTTTCAGCTCTCCCCCCGCCCCAGCTGAATATTCTGCAGTTATTTCTTTCTATAAAGCACCTGCAGGGACTTGTACATCTAAATCATTAAGGGCAAACAAAGAAAAAATTTTTTAGGGAAAGATATTTCCAGCAAGCAAGGAAGCCACAGTCAAACATAAAATCTGCTACAAAGCCAATAGATCTTTCTGGGCCGGCCTGCCTGCAGGCTCCTCCAGCTCTGGAGTGAGCCTACTGCAGGTAACGCTACCAATGGCTACAGCCACAGTAACATATCTTAGGCCCAACTTCTCAACCTGCTCGGTCTTAGCCTTAAATCTGTATTAACTCCAAATCTGTAAATCCGTAGCTAAGGGAAATAGTGCCAAGAGAAAACCCTTGAAAATATACTGTCCTATCCGCCCCCCCAGCCTCCTACCTTTTCCCCCAAAGTAAGAGACATGATTATTTATTCTTTTTTCTTGTAAAGATGGCTGTGAAAGCTGTGATCTATTTTTAAAAATATATCTTCAGGATTTCTAATTCAAATCCTGCTAAATCAAGACAGTTTGATCTTGCTCTGGTGACTCTAATATAAACACATGATAATTTTTAATTATGTTCAGAACTATGATTGTCTCTGTAGACTAGTTTTAATATAAGCAAACACTATACTGAGAAAAAACAGCTTATGATAGCTATTCAAATGCAGGGAAAATGTTCAGTATGTCCATGGATACAACTGAGTCGTCGCTGCAAGCTACAGACTAATGTCCTAGTGCTCCCACTGTGCCCGAGCTGAGAACAACTACATAGAGCACCTCTAGATGGGTTCTACCTTTAGTGATTCCTTCAGTTTTGTCTTCAAGTACACTGCTTACCCATATCAGTAATCCAGATGGCTATTCTCTCATATAAGAAATTCAGTATCATGATGATGACAAAATTCAGGCATGAGGCTGTGACTGAAGTTGCCAGCTGAGGGGTCAGTAATCCACTGATGGGCTGTAAAGTTTGAGTGTTCTCCATCAGGCTGGCAAAGGCAGCATACACCGCAAGACGATATACGATCACAGCTATCATGCTAGCTATAATCAGAGACACCTAGGGAAAGGACAGAGGTTTGAAATACACTTACAGCTCAGTATAGCTATATGCATGCAACTTTTGAAAGAAGATGTAAATCATCATGCTTTACAGCTTTTAAATTTTGCTCTTTATGGGTATGAGTTCAGCAGCACTGAAATGCAAAGTACACAGGCAAAATACTTTGTTATATTAGACACATTAAACACAACAAAATTACTTTGTTAACATAAGAAAAGCAGACAATCTAATACCAATATTAAAAAAAAATAAATAGTGCAGAAGGATACAGACTCATACAAATGGAGATGGAAGGGACAAGTTAGATAATATTGTCCACCCTGAAATTCACCCTGCAGATATTTCTACAGAGAAATGCCATTGTAGATATTCCATTGTAGTGAATAATACTTTTTTTTTTTTGCCTTTATTACAAATTTTTTCAGTATTGTCTAAAAACAGCACATAAAGCCAGAGAAAATGTTATCCCTATGCTAATCTGTCCAATCAAATTAATGACAGATTTCCAAGGTCTTTTTTTTTTAATCTGAATTGAAGTGCATTTTGCATGACAGCAGGAAATCTGCGGAAGAATAATAAAAGCATGTGTTAATATCATGATTAAAACCAGTTGGTGTTAATGTCATGATTAGGGATGATCAGCAACTCTGATATATGTTAAAATGATGATGCAAAAAAGATGCTCACCCAGAACAACACTGTAGCTCCTGAGATGCAGAACCGCATAGCCTGGCTAGTTATAGGCAAGTAAGGCTCCATCTCCTGAAACAGTCAAGCAAGCACAGCACAGTTCACAAATCCATAATCTTACTCTAACATCAAGCAGCACACAGAGCTCTAATCAGCTGTGTGAAAGGAAAAAGACCACCTCCTTCATTAGATGAACAGGACAGAACTATTACTGTAATGCTAGGTCAGCTGTCATACAGCTCTGAGTCCAAAACTGGACTGAATTTTAAGAAATTCTTCATGTTGAGTTTCTTAAAATGGTCATTTACTTGGACATTCCATGCTTTTCCACACAGCCAGAGAGTGTTTTCCTCCACTCCTTCAATTTTTTTTTTTTTAATTGAAGAAATGGCTACATTCATTAGTTGCCAATCTCTGCTGCAGCATCAGGCAGCTAGGTCTTACCCAAGCGAGTATCCCCATATAGCACATGAACAATTTTCCATGTTCGTGTAAAGTTCTCTTTTTCGCAACCAATTCTAATTCCTAAAATATCAGATTACTTGTATTAAGAAAGGATCATTTAAGAACTAATGCCAGTGGAAGAAGATTTAGTAAAACATAATCTGAATTTGATAAATCTTTGGGACAAGGCATTGTAGTATGCTTACACTCCTCTTGGACAAAGGGGTACCAATTACTAGAGGTGAGAACAATATTAAGTATATTATCAATAAGTATACTGAACCAGGAAATGCTTGTTTTGACAACAGAAGATACTGAACGTGTAAAATGTTGTTAAAGGGAGTTTATTTTCTGTTGCACAAAAGCCCAGAATGTGCTGAACACACTGGCATAATGCGGTGTAATTACGCTGAACACAACGGTGGCAACTGAGCTGCACACTCCTCCCTGACACAACCAAGCAGTAGCAGTTGTTTTACAAGCGTTGCTTCTTGATGGCAACATTCTTCAGTCAATCCGCATGCTCATAGCAATGTGATTTTGTTTGAAGTGTAATGTGCTATTCTCTCAGGAGAGATATACTGCCTGGATCTGCTTAAGTATACTTACTAAACACAATTATCAATACTGTAGTCTCGAGTCACAAGTTGTTTGATCATGATAACAGTTAAAGGCTCTATTAACAGAATGATAAAAAAACAGCTGAAGAGGAGATACAAGCATAGATACCAGGTGGCTTTACACAGGCTCATAACATTTTATACCTATTATGTATCAATAAATAATATGTATATTCTATACAAAGAACAAATGTTTCGCACATTCTAGGCTATTCAATAAGTTTTCTACTTTAGAACACAATGTAGGCAATAATGTGCAATGACAGAACCTAAGTCTGAATGGAATGCTTCATTATTTATGTAAATTAATATTCTACTGTAATCAGCAAAACCAGATTTTAGCTCTGATCTAGCTAAATAGTTTAGCATCATGACCAAATGAAGTGTTAATTAAAGCCTCAAGATGGGCAATTTCTGTTTCAGTGCACCTAAAACTTTGAATCATGGCCAGGAATAATGAGGAAACAATTTTCTCAGCAAAGCAAAGCCACTCTTGGGATGCAAGAAACTCAGTGACCTGTATCCATATTATCTTATCACCGTGCAGAATTAACTTATTTGAAATCACTGTCCTTTCACGTGTTCAGTATTGCACGTTATCTAATGAAAGGAAATTACACCACAGCGTGGCTAATCTGTATGGTTTGCTATAACTGGGTATTGCTAGGGATCACTGCTAAACCCTGCCACACAAAAGCTTCAGAAAATCCACCAAGGTAATAAATTGATGTGTCATAAAATAAAGGATTGTACAGTCATTGAATTTTTATGGTAATTGTTAATGCATACTTAGGAAGCACAGAACAGTGCAGTATCTCACTCTGAGATAAGAAAAATATATTATGGTCCAACTTCTATTTCCAAAATTAAGTCCAAATAAACCATCTTACCTAAGAAATCTGCATGAATTGAGAGAGAGAACAATCAGGACAGGTCTACAAATGCACCTCACCCATGCCATCTTTGTCTGTAACCTGCTGCGGCTGACTCACCTCGCCAGACTACGGGTTTTGGTCCACGCTGCCTACGAGTCAGCCCATTATTCCCTGTCCTCACACGACTACCCTCTGCTGCAGCCCGTCACTTCAAGCACACAAGGGCCGTGAACCGCCTGTGTGATCTGCCCCTGCGCTTTCCTTCAGCTGCAGCAGAACCACAGTGGTTCAGCTGGTTTTGGTCACTGTGCAGCCATGTAAGAAAGTGGAGGTTTTGAGCCTGAGCATACACAGGGATGCAAACTAGCAAATAACACGCAACAGGCAGGCATCTGTTTTCAATTAGCTGAACTACCTAATCAACCTAATCAAAAATTGATTTACCTGAAACTGTTTTCCTGAGCATGTAGAAATCAATACCTCGGCAGAGCTACACTCAAAATAACAGTGCATGGTTATCAAAGATCTGTGCGTGACTACAGCATACAAGGTACAGTTGTAAGAACAGCAGCATTAACGCTGCATGTGCAGAAGGGGAAGGAGAGACAGAAAAACTGTCTCTCATGAGAAATAAGATTAGTGTATATATTTTCTAATAATTGGGGAGAGAAACGCTGAAAAGACAGGGCTACTGTTCATAAAACAATGATGCTTCCCATGTTCTGGCTAAGCTGCTATTTCTTTTCTGAAGACTGTGTTATCTATGTCTACTTATGACTAGTGAAAATAAGTTATTTACATATAATCCTAGGAGGAGGAACGATGATCTAAAAATATGTCAAATTGAGGTGGTAGATGTTGTGTTGGAATGCAACCATCCTATCCCTAAATTTGTCAAATAACTCCTACCTAAATTAAATTTAAATGAAGACAATTAACATCTAGTAGGTATTTACATAGAGCATTTAACAGAGTTAAATAGTGTGGTTAATTGTATCTCAATTAGATTTTAGACAAAGGGCTTCAGCAACCTTCATCTGTCTAGCGTTCCCAAAGTGGTTGTATATCAGAAACAAAACCACAGCTAGTCCCACTTTTGTATCTTTAGATCAAGACTGCTCCTTCATATGTTGTGCAGGGATGAGAAAGAGTGCTTTTAAAGGCAAGAAGATTTCAGAGACTGCCACGTTGAAACGTGAAGGACAGTGTAAAGATGGTGTTAGCCAAGTGAAAGCTATAAACTTTCTGTTTGTATTCCTGATTTAATATATCAGTTTCCTATGGAAATTAAAATCCATAGAGGATAATTAATGAAAGTTATGCACACTCCAGAGGCAACCCCCGCCACGTTCTCATTTATTCTGTGTCAAAAGCCTAGATAACAAAAGACATCTGCAGGAAGAGAGCCACGGTCCAAGAGATGGGGCATGCCTGTCATGTGCAAGAGGTGGCTGAAGTGCTGAGTGCCCTCAGTTACTGGTACCTTCAGACTGGAAAGCAGGACAGCCACACTGCAATGGCCCTGCACCAGGGTCAGCAGACCCTTGAAAGGCCAGGCTATCAACTCCTTAATTTATCGACGCTAACACAGCTACGCTGCTTTCGGCAGTTAAAGTGTTTATCTCTGATACTAGTCAATCGGAGCGCAAACCTCAGCTCTCATCAAGTGGATGCCTTCAGTGAGAAAACAATGTGTTACCAAATTCTGCTTTGATATTCGATGCAATCTATTGTGTTCAGTGAGGGCATGGTTAGCATCGCGTTCTACATATTTAAGCCAAACTCACTGCTACAGTAAATACTGCCCTGTGGAGATGTAATAGCTGAGGGCCTGCCCTGCTCCAATATAAATGTGGCATTGCTTATGTGTGTCACACAAATCTTTACCTAGCCATGAGATACAGACTTGTTCCTGAGGCAGAATTCACACCTTATCAAAGTATCTTTCAGCACACAACTGAATTTGCATGCATGTCAACCCAGCAGGCTCTTTACCTGAGTTACAGGATTCTTCTTCTTTTGGGTACATTTTGCTTCGTACTCAGGCCTCAGCTGGAGTTGTTGCTGTTCCTCTTCAAAATCAACCAAATCCCACTCATATTTCAGTCCAGCTTGCCGCCTCTTCCAAAACTCCAAGAAAAGTGTAACTGCAATTTGGAAGTGTTAAAATACAGTTAAGGGAAAAGAGAACAAGTTCATGAACCAAGTTAAACTCACTTCTGCACTGGCTTCTATTCTGCGGTCTATTATTTATCCTCACAGTGTGACCCATCTATTTTTATTGACTACCTATTAAAGTTCACAGCTAAGACCATAATATGGATTAAGCAATTCATTAGCTAATTGAATTCCAGAAGTGGATGACAAGGAAGATGCCAAGACAGGATACGGGTATTTCCATGGTTATGACAACCATGTTCAATTACTGTTTAACTACTTTTCATACGCAAATAGCAATACAGAATTAACAAAGGAACAGGATAATTCAACTAACTGCTTGTGTATAAACCTGTAACACATGAACAACTATTACACATAAACAGAACTGTTTTCAAGTAGCGTGTTCAAAGATTTCTATTGCTTTTTGATGATTATTTGATATCATGGTCATTAACAGTGAATGTCTGATGCTTTTCATATGATCAAGAGTGAGGTTGGCTTAAGGAATTTTTAAGACACTAGAGGGAACTGATTTCATATATAAATTAAACAACTATAAAAGTTATGATGTTATATAACATTTTAAAAGCCCTCTATAAACTACTTTAAAATGTAAACCTTTGGTAATCTGATTGTTCGTATTTGAAGTGGAGAGGCTTTACGGTTTACAGAAACACAGGAAAGCTTATCTTCTGCAGTTCTAAGATCTTTTGCTGGTACTGCCTGAATGACTAATCCATGTCACTCAAAAGCTAGTGTTTAAAACCAAGAAAAGTTTAGGAAAACAGCTATACAACATCATCTTATTCGATTTTTTTTTGAGAATTCTCTACGAAAACGTTAGTGGCTACGTCCTTCAATAACAAATACACAAATAGCACACAGAGATCTTTGTGTGTTAATGAAATATCGATATTCAAATCAAAGATTTAATTATGATATTTCATACAAACAGTATGAAACAGGAGACAAGGTATTTAAGGAAAGAAGAAACAATAACTACACTATCCTGCCTCTGTAAATCTTCACAGAGTTTAAGAAAAGAACATGTATTCAAAACAATTCGATCTTAAAGTCTGAAAAAGTATCACTTGGTGTGAAACCATCTTACAGAGTCAGGAAATCCACCTATTTCTGCATCATCAAAACATACTATAATGTATGAACTTCACTGGAGTGGAAGCCAACTGATTCTCATCCTAAAAGTGCTGCTAATGAAGTGGTAGTGCTGGACCACCACCCACTCAAAGGACACAAAAGCTCTCTACTCCCTCACAAGGACACTGGTAATGTGCAGGGCTCAGCAGAGAGGACTCTAACAAGGACTGCATAAGGTTGCAGCACTCTGTCTTAGGTTACTAAGGAAAGAAACAAATGGTAGCAGTTAGAGTATGCAATGCTTGTGATATCCTAGATATCTGCTGGATTTTGTTTGGTTTTGTTTAAGTCCAATCCCTCTGTAACTTTAAATTATTTTTACTCTTTCATCACTTTTGCATCTGAGGCAGGACATTAAAGCAAAGCCATTATTCCTTTTCTTCCCACTTCCAGTGTCCCTCAGCAGTTTGGCCAAGATCTCCTTATTGCTTGACATAAAACTTATCAAATGTACTCACCCCATATGCCCATGAAAATGGCAAAAAAGAGAGTTGCCACGTTGTCAAACAAATGGGAATACTGCAACAGAATACACAGGAACAGGTCAGTACCAAAACACTTTTCAGTATGAACAAAAATGACAAGTGGCTGGAGAACCAGTTACAGACCTCTGAGGACACACAGGTGGTGTTTAGTCTCCAGTACTCACACTCTCGGTCACAAAGAGGGCACATGATGATCTCTCCCCCAATTGCAGGGTCACAGATTTCTTTGCTGAGGAGAAAATATTGTACAGTATCTGTTTTCATAGCATCTTAAGAGCTGCTATATGAAATTTCTTAAAAAAAAAAAAAAAAAAAATTAAGAGCTTCATTTGTTCAAAGCTCAACATCTGCAGCTTCACAGAGAAGATGCCAAGTCTTGTCACATTCACCGGTGTTAACCTGTAGTTGGTCAGGGCAAGCCAAGAAATGTAGCAGCTGCTACAAGGAGAAGGACTAGCAATTCACTTGGTATGGGCTTTCTGATTCTGTCAGTAATGAATCAGAAGTCTGTAAGGAGCTGTACTGCACATGCACTGCTTTCAGGTGAGATATAAACCATGTTATTTCTCATCAGGTTAGTAACATGTTCAAAACACCTTTTCTAAAAGCAGAGTATTAATTCACTTTGCTATCTACAGCAAAATTTGCTACTTCAGTTTAACTACTACAGTGGGTAAAGTTTACAATCCTATGATAGTCCTTCAGTATCCAGAGAAATCTGAACATGTATAGCAGTATTCCCAGGTGAATTCTGAACTTAGCTAAAATGTAAGTCTCAAAATGACATAATTCAATAGAATGGATGAGAATTTTAACCTGTTATTCATCTTTCATGGTTAAAACTCAAAATTTTCTGGAAGCCTTCTTGTAAAAAACAGTGAGCAATGAAATGTCAGCCCTCTTTTCCTCTCCCCACCCATCCACTCCAACCCCCTCCCCGCCCCCAAAATCCCTGCATACAATAAATCTTGGGACCCTTGAAGAAGCAAATACAATGCTTATTTAAAAAGAAGCAAACTCTGGCTTCCAACGTACTGGATCCCTCTTTGATGGGAGAGCACTGCTGATCTGTCCTGTACTCATGCTTTTGGTACAAATGATGACCTACACAAAAAGGTCAATGGACTACTCTGCAAGACAGATTAAAATAGAAAAGCTTAAGGCAACAACAAACACTTGAAACAAACAATTTTGAGATGTCAGTGGTACTCTTAGGACTTTATGTATTGCAGGTACTCCAATATAAAAAGCTATAGCCAAACGGCAATAAAATATTGCTCTTCACGTACAAATTGAGTCTTACTAATTAATAGTCACAAGTCCACCACCATTTCTGTCAATAAAGATAGCCAAAGAACAAATTTGTCTGCTCTGACAAGCTTTAAAAGCTTGTTACCTGTTTTTTTGCAAGAACAACATTTTCACGTTGCTTAGCTTTTCCCATTATAAGCCCAGGAGATTTTCAGCATTACACTCACCTGCTCATATTTTCATCCATTGTAAACAAGCCGTAAAGAAAACAGATTAAGCCAACAACTGCTGCAAGGAATAACATCTCAGTGTAAAATCCCAGCCAGGCAAAATAGATTCCAATCTTCTCACCATAGTACTTCCTGAATACAAAAAAATGCGATTAATAGGAATACAAAGCAAAGCTTAAAACTGCAATAGAGCAAACTGGCCAGAGTCAAAATGAAACACTTAGCAAAATTCTCATTTAACAGAAGAGTAAATGCATTGATGTACACTGGAAAAATGGGATTTGAATCTAGCTGTGAGGAGTTACACAAGCTGAATGAACAAAATAGATAGCCTCTTTTGTCGCTTTTTTCTCTCCTAGAAGAAGCT